GTGTGGTATGGACGAAGGCTCGACAGACCATATATTTTTTAACTGTTCTTTAATTAATGACTCGTTATTTGACCATCTTTCTCCAGATTTCCCTCGTCCATGTAACCTTAACTCCCTACTTTCCCTCCCATCCAGCTCGATCGTCAAAATATTAGGGAAATTTATTTCTGTTAATAAATTAAAGTTATAAATAAGATTCTCCCCTCCATACCTTGTAGTAAAATGTTAACCTCTTGTATATATTATAAGATTTCTGTGTATGGGTAACTCTGCTTAGATAAAATTCAATGTATCAAAATTATCAAATCTATCCTCACTGTGTGAAGACTTAGAACGTGACATTGGCGGAATTGTGATTTACACAGATGTCGCCATTATAAATAAAGTGAAGTGAAGTGAAGTCTTTGTGGAATAAACTTACTTGATACTTGTTTTTTTTTTACATTGATAGTAACTGTATTTCTATGAAATTAAATACTATACGTATTAAGTCTTTTACTATTGATACTTAAAATGACTGGCATTGCATGGAAAACTAAAACTATATTTACTATAAAACACAACTTTATTCGGAATAATCAAAATCAGAATTGAAAAAATCAATATGCATAGATTCATGAGAGACATTGCTGTTATCACTGTCTCTCACGTTGATTATGAAACTTTCTAAATGTTCCTCTGTAGTCCTGTCCCTTTCCTTATATTTAACCACTTATTGAAGTTGGCAGCATTCATATCATGGTAATAATCAGACATTTGATTTAGTGCTAAATACTAATAATGAGTTCGACACAGGACCCTTCTCCGACCCTGCTTGTACAATTATGTACCTTTTCCAGATGAAATATTTTCAATAGCACCACTTGTAGAGGGACTTTGCCACGATTTTTGGGCTTGTAGTTTTTATGGACAGAAGTTTCATCTAAATAAATTATTGGCTTTCTTTTTGCACGTTTCAACGATATAGATCTTAAATAGTAATGTCTCCAGGCAGATATGTCATTGCGCTCAATTAACAAAGAACGTTCATTTTTGTTTTTCTTAAATTCATAGCCATTAGGCAATAATATTCGGCGAAGAGTTTCCCGACATCCAGTAAATCATAACGCGCCTAAAGAAGTATAACTTCAAAAATAATTTGTACGACATTTGTAGTTTGTTTTAATATTATGGCAATAGTTTTAACTTTATGCCAGATTCAAGTAAAAGGTTTGGTAAACTACACGCGAGAAAAAATAAACAAAGACATCAAAAGGAAATAAAGGGATAAGCTAGTTAAAAACAAAACTACATTTTAATATTATTATAGATTATGAAAGTACATAATACATTATAATACAATAATACAAAACAAGGATAAAGCAAAAGGCAGGAGATTTTAGTCGGAAACGGAACATGAAGTGATTGTAAGGAATTCAGAAAGGAGGTGCGGTCATATTGGGAACAAGAAAAGAAAATATGGTCGAGGTCACCAATATCTTCTCCTCACTCAAAAATATTACTATCAACAAACACACACACAAACGAAGCCTTGCTAAATGATGTGTACAAACATGTTCTAAACGCATTCTGGAAATGATAGAAGTGACAATTTTAGAATTTATAACCTCAAAAAACCATTACTGGGGATCCTGGGTTGAATTTCAGCATAATGTTTGCCTTTGAACTCGCTGTTCCTCAACCAAACATCATTCCATGACTCCCAAAGATGGGTTTTGGGAAGAGCAGCTAAATCATGACTATTTTTAATGTATGGGACTATATCTCCAGCCTTTATAGCTTCTTTGGCAAGCTCATCGGCTTTCTCGTTTCCTTTAATCCCACAGTGACGTGGAATCCATACAAAGATAACGGTGTAATTTATTAGAGAACATATAAAAAGCTTATCACGTATTTCGCAAATAATAGGATAACAAAGTTTCATTTGGAAAGGAAATTTTTCAATAGTTTGTAGTGCACTTTTTGAGTCTGAAAATATGATTATTCTTTTAGATTTTAATAAAATAACTAGTTCTAAAGCTTTTAAAAGGGCAAAACACTGCAGTAAAAACCGAGGATTCAGGAGGAAGTTTAATCTTTTGTATTATTTTATGTTGCCAATGAACTAGACCAACTCCAACACAATCATCAACACAGCTGATTTGAGAGGCATCTGTAAAAATATAATCCCAACCATCCCAATTTTGTTCCTCAACGCTACTCATTAAACGAATATTTGTTTCCAGAATATCTTGCATACTGACGGATCTAGAATTAAAGAATTAAATTGTGTCATAAATATGGGTAATGATGGAGATCGATGAAGGCGGCTGTGTATTGTTAAAAATTTACGAAAGCTTTTTATTAGACATATTAATGATTTGTGACGCCAGTAACGGGATGTATGAATAATATTGTTCAATTCATGCAGTTTTCTATGTAGAGGATGGTTAGAAAACTGCATAAGTTTGAACAAGAATCGATCACTTAAAAAGTGCCTTCTTAATTTTAAAGGAGGATCGCAGCATTCTACTTGTAAAGCATTGGTTGGGCTAGATTTAATAACTCCTGTCACAATTCTCAAAGCTTTTGACTGAATTACATCAAGTTTTTGACTTCCCAAGACACTTCTAACACTGTCTAACAAATTCTGGACATGACTTATCTATCGCTGAATGGTACCCTTCGACTTGACACATTACACAGTACATTTATCTGACCTGTCACATGATACACCTGCATGTTGACCTCCACAGTAAAGCCGAATTTACATTACGAAACTAGTGGCTCGGAATTAGTTTTATGACATAAATTTCACGTGTAAATTTACAGTTTCATAATGCATGCATCGGTTTCGCGACACTGGATAAATTTCGTGCCATGCGCATATTTTTTGTAAAACTAATGTCACGCAACTACTTTCACGATGAAAACGCGACACGAAACTAGTGTCGCGAAAGCATTTGCACAGGGCAGACGTGTGTGTTTGAGTGCATCGTGCAGCTAAATGACCGCCAAAATGGCAAACCAACGTTGGTCAGTTGATAAAAATATAATTTTCGAATTTTATATATTAACATCTGTACCACGACGTTCTGCATCGCAAAATGAAGCTTTGATGTTGACAGAGCCATGTCGTTGGTGATACTGTTGATTTCACGACACTATTATTTTTTGTTAAAGTAGTTTCACACGTGCTGCAACTATTTTCATGAAACTCATTCCAACATGCATAACACTAGTTTCGTAATGTAAATTCGGCTTAATAACATATTGGAGTCTTAGAACGACATTGAACTTTGGTATGACCATGCAGCGTTTGTGTAGTATTTTCTATAATATTTTGATGTATATGGCAACATAAATACCGGTCGTTTAGAAAGGAAGAAAACGAACGTCACTCAGGACAGACTTTAGACTAGTGAGATATGTATTTTTTCCATGAGCTTTTCTATAAGAATATAAATTAATTACTCTTGTTTTGTGAAGAATAAACCAATTAACAAAGTTAAATATGGGTTGTGATTTATTATAAGATAGAACATTCCCATAAATGTTGACCCCGACGTGATTTTTTTCGCAAAGTTAAGTTTCTGACGTGATTTTTTTTATTTCGCATTTTATTTTTCTTTACAATTATTGACAACTGATTCAGAGGGTTTCCAAGAAACCGAGTCATTAATTTTCACCTTGCGATTCAAACGTCTTATTTTAAGTATTTTGCCGCAGCCTAAAGGTACGGATACATTTTGTTGAACTTCCTACTTCACTTGTACACTCCAATCTACAGGGACCTCGCGAACTAGACCCATTCTTGTTACGCTGAAAGTGGGAATGAAGGCTTTTAACTTTTTCGTTTCCAAAAGATAGCAGTTAAGAAAATTATTGGCGTTTTATAATCAGAAAAGCCAACTACCCACCTGTTTCTTCCGCTTTACACTTCCGGGAATAATATTATCAAATTTGTTCTGCTTTATAAATTGCAAAATGTTATAGGATGGAGAACGGTCCCGTCGTCAGGTGAACTTTGCACCTATACGTTGAACATGTCCGGGACGAACGGGAGTCCGTATTGGTTACTGTAGCTTTGGTTTTGATTGAATAGTCTTGAGAGATATTTGAATTTTCCGTGTAAGATGTTGATGGTTGAGAGGATGTGTTATGTAAATTATTATTATCTTGCCAGTGTGGAGATGACGTGGATTTAGATATAGAAGTAACCTTTTTAATTAAAATTGACTCATCTTCTACATTGCAATAAGCTTTCGCACTGACAGTAATCACCGTTAGAACCACTACCTTTCTTTTTCTTAATTTTCGTACACTGCCGACAAAGGCGCAAATAACGTGTTCGTTTACGACTTCCTTCACCTGTCTGAGATGATACCGAACAATCGGTATCCATTTTGTCAAATTCATCTTGTGAACCAACAGATATATTTGATCCCACAGGGAGATTCAGGCCAACATGGCCATCATCCCATGACCTAGATCGGGGGCTCGTTCATACTATATTTACAGAAATTACAAAAACTTCTACACGATGACACTATGCACAAATATGATATAAAGATTACATATAATACAAAAATTAAAACTACCAACTTATCCTCTGCGTTTTAAGTAGTAAAATTAAACTAAATTTTCACCACCGTGAAAAATAAGTCTACCGTGAACGAAGTTTCCCGCGCTTTTGCACATTTGTAGTTCCCAGTTCCCACTAAACTTCTTTTTTGATCTTTACCTCTACTAACTCTGTGAATCCGATCGATCACCTAAATAAAATGTCAAACGTCAACATTTTAATTGTTTAGCTAAAGGGCGATCTGCGTTTTACGAATAAAAAGTGATTGGTACAGTATTAAAGAAAACCGACCAATTAAGTGCTAAATATTTATCTAACATTATAATATATTCGATCTAAAATTAAAGCTGCGCTGTTGATGCCGATACGTAGTAAACTTGGAGAGTCGAGGACTGAGCCATTTTTTCTTTGTATATTTTTCCAGTAATTTATCGCCATGGATGAAAATGAAATATCGATTATAAGCAGCAAGAACTTTGCAAATGTTTCCGAAATTTTGGAGAAATTTATGAAGAATGTACGTATATGTTATTTTTGACTACCGTAAAGATAGGAAAATATCTATTTTGCAATCTGTAAATTACAAATAGTCCAAAAGAGGCTAATCTTATTAGTAATTAATTATAAATCTCTCAACTAGACCTAACAATGCCATTATTTTATTACAGAATGAAACAAATTTTTCATTCCCTTATCTTTCGGAGAATAACATGAGGGTGTCATTATGGGCAGCACTATTTGAGCAGCTTCAGGATAAATCAGCTGAAATCATTCATCTTTCCTGTTTGGCTACACTAAGAATATTAAGGTAAATTGATAGTTTAAAAACAAAATTGTATTGCATTAAAAAGATATTATTTTCATTTACATGAATGTAATATTTTGCAGCCGTGACAAAAGTGAAGTAGAAAATTTAATATGTGAAAAATGGATGATAACATTGATTGAAAAAGCTGGTTTATACAATTTCATTGATGTAACTGATGATGTAAAGGAAAATTTGCCTAGTAAAGACGTTGCTGTGGAGGCTTTAAAATGTTTGTGTAACATAACATTTAATAGTGAAGTGGCCAGAGCATTGTGTGCTCATACAAGTATTGCACAAGGACTTGTGGCAAGACTAAGATCATACAGTGAAATACCTTACAAGGAAGATATAATACTCTTTGACATGAAATTATTATTTATTTTAACTGCTTTAAGACAAAACATAAGAGCTAAAATAAAAAATGAGTTGCATGGAATGATATATTTGATAAATTGTCTGAATGACCTTGTGTCTGAGGCTACAGAGCATAGAATTGAAGCATCAAATGTTTGTAAACATCAACAAGTTGTACTAAGTGTATGTTTTGTTATAATACCATACTTAACTAAATTTGTCTAAGTGTATTGTTTATTGATAAAATATATTTTTAATGATTGTACTAGAGTTTTAAGCAACTAAAATTTTTAGGATAAGCAAGAAGCAATTGTATGTGAAATACTTAAAACCCAGTTTAATATGATGTACCATTCTGGTCCTGATGAGCCTCTTAATGCAGAAGAAGAAGCATTGGTCTTGAAACTAATGCCAATTTTAACTGCTCTACTCACGGCTGAAACTAGTACTTGGGATAAATTGACAGAGCTACATATTAACATAGCCAATTTACTGACATGGTTAGTATGAGTTATGTTTGAAAATTTAAATACAATTATCATATTCTGGGGGTCACCAAATTTAATTTGTGCAAACTTGCAAACTGCGAAAGTTGGTTTAATGATATCTTCGAAATAAAAATTGGATACTCGTAAATTATTCCCCGCAATATAATTCCATTGTGATACCCGTGAAACAATACAGTTAATAAAAGATTCCATAATTAAAGTTGTCAGTATTTATTGTTTTATAATTTTTTATTCATATTTTCTGTTAGCGTAGCCTGAAAAATGGATAATAGCGATTTCATATTCTGTAAATTGTATATTGCACAGGGTAGACAAATAAAATTAAAAGTTTTATTGCAGTGTACCAGCAGAATTTTATCAGTACTTATCTCCTGAATGTAGTGAAGATGAGAGTTTACAGTATGTCTATGATGGAAAGAATATGGAAGCTCTGCATGCTCTATTACAATTGCTACAACACAGACTAACAGTTACAACCGTAAGTTATGCTTTTTTCAAACATTTTACACTTACAAATTAAATTATTTATATTTTATGTAACATAAACAGCTTATCATAAACATATACAACCCAAGACATAGTTATTATTTAAACAGAATAATAGCTACATTATTTCAAATAATTTATAAATAAAAATGTAAGACAAATCAAAATCTTATATGTGTGAATATTTTCCATAGTATTTAGATTGTATTCAATAAACAGTCACACAGTAGACTACAAAAATGCTTAATTTAATTAAGACAACACCAATATTATTTTGCTTGCCACAATGGAAACATAAACTTTTATGGTCTATCTCAAAACGTTTACTGATTCATAATTCAAACAGATATTCATATATAGGCAATAGTTTTCACTTTATGCCAGTTTCAAGTAAAAAAAAAAGCAGGTAATTGCATCTCAGCAATGTCCATGTCACAGTTTGTCATTCAGGGTCGACAGTTCAGTGATACATCTGTCAAACGTCAAAAATGTAATTTCGACATACGGGAGTGGTGCTTCGCTAAGCTTGTGTAAACTAAATTTTATTTTAGGGTACAAATAATGAATACGAAAATCTTTCACCGATTCTGACCGTATTGAACAAGAGCGCTCGTAACGTACGAGCTCATCGTAAATATTTACGACAAACGGTGCTTCCGCCCCTGAGAGACGTTTCCCTGCCTCCGGAAAAGGGGAATACCCTTCGAAATCAACTCTGCAGACTTTTGACTACACCGGTCACGTCTGTAAGGGATCTCGTTGCAGAGTTTCTGTTTATTCTGTGCAAAGAGAAAGGTAAGTCTATTTATTAATCTGAAAATGTGAATTCTAAATAAAAACTCTAAAAAGGTCTTATAGTAAGTTAAATTTCTCCTAATTGTGTCTTTTACTCTACTAGTTGATCTAGTTCTTAGGGTAGGAAATTAAACACTCCAATGATGATTTGATTCACTATAATTCACTTCACTGATTTTACGGAAACTGTATAACTTCAAATTTGAACAAAGGAATTGCCCGTGCGCATGTGTTACAACCTCTTTTATAATCTATTCCCTACTCCGACTCGAGCATCCCACTTCGGGCAGTTGTTCGAGTCAATTCGTAAACAACAGAACGAGTCAAATGAGTAACTATTGCACATGCGCACTATTTAAAGGCTATACGAGATACAGACACATAATAAAAGATTTTCACGATTTGAGAACGTCTTTCGATGTTGGTTCATTTGTTCTTGGCCTGGTATTTAAATATTATTGTTTTTACAGTGGGCCGTATGGTGAAGTACACCGGTTTCGGTAACGCGGCCGGTCACTTGGCGCAAAAAGGTCTCATGTGCGGTGGGCGTGGCCCCATACAGTACTCGTCGAGTAGCGAAGACTCCGACACTGAGGAGTATTTGGAGGCCCAGCCTCATATAGACCCGGTCGTAGGATGTACTAGGCCACCCAGGGTCGATCCGTTTGAGAGTATGACTGAGGAACAGGTACGGTTTGTAATCTTATAATGTAACTGAATTATATTTTATGCATAGACATGTAATGAGATTTAATTAAAAATAAATTATTAAAGTGGTAATAGTGTCTTAAAGAAATATTATTTTCAGAAAGAACACGAGGCTATGAAGTTAGTGAATTTATTCGATAAAATGTTATCTGAGGGCGTGGTCAAACCGGCGACGATCGGCCCCGACGGAAAGCCCAAACCCCTCGAGCACGTCCTGGAGATGAGGGAGAATCCACCGAACAGACCGCAGTCCTAAATATATAATTAGATGGCCTTTTTTATTTATTTTTTAATTTTGTTACAAAAATAAATCGCAATCGCAAAGAGAGGGATTCATAGGCGTGATCTTCTTTTCTTTTCAAATATTTCATTTTTACTTGCCACAATGTCCCATAACTCCTAGATGGGGCAAGGGGCGTCTACAGTGAGGCGTCTGCCATCGCGTTGGGTCTTGAGCCTCGTATTTCACCTCGATCCAAGTCTTTCCGGCTCTCTTAGCCTCTTCTGCAACTGTACGACGCCAGGTTTGCTTGGGACGGCCCCGCTTCCGCTTTCCTTGCGGGATATAATTGGATCTCTTCGGAGTGTATGGGCTATCCATTTCCACTTGCGTCGCTTGTTCTGCTGGCTAATCAGCGTTTCTCGATAGCGCTCCCAAAGTTGCTCGTTAGATCTTCTCGAGCCAGTTGATACCCAGAATACGGCGAAGACTTGCAGAAGTCTTGATACATTGATAAAAAAACATTTAAGTATACAAAAGGAAATATATTATAGTAGACTCGTTCACAATCTTGTCGAATAATAGACGCACGCGTCCCTGCCCCATGAGCCGAATTAACTAGAGTTCAAGGTCACAGTAAAGCAAAGTAAACACTAAGCTGTTTGGGGAGTCTTTATTTACCTTTATTTTGAGGTTTAAAACCTACTTTATAATTTATGGATTCTGTTAATTGAGTGTGCTCAAAAAAAAGTTTTATGCATTTTAAGTAAGGGCCTATATTATTTTAGATATTTATATTTAATTATATTGCATATATGCAATTTTTTAAGAAAACAACCTAACACGATTTTTATATTATAACTATGTACTTTAGCGCACACCTGACGTTTTTATAATTTCTATAAAATAATTTAATACTACTACTAACTCCGAATAATATGGAAACTCCAATAGTTACAAATAATTATTCAGCGCTTCGTGAGTGTATTTTTAACACTGAAGCGTGAACATACAATTTTATTGCAAACTATACAGATGCGTGGGAAAATGTGGCGTCTAAGCCCGTACCTCGTTCACTATGTCTTATTTTGGTTTTACCGAGCGAAAACAAATTTAAATGCTCCAGTGTCTCTTAATTACGCTCACGGAGCACTGTATATAATTTTTTTGCTGTAATATTCTGTAGTGTCTTCACCTGTCACCTGTATGATAGGTGTTTTTCGTAATAATAGGTTAAGCATAAACCATAATCATTTTAATCAGTAATTTATATTATATATAATTAAAAACTTGAATTCATAAAATTATAGTCTGCGTATTAGGTGGGCTGAAAAGTTCGTACTCTGACACATAGATGGCGCCACTAATATTAAATTAATATGATTTTTTCTGAGCCCTAACGGCTAACCTTCGAAAGACACGTGTTTAAATTTGACGACTTTCGTACTGTTACTTTGTGAATGCTATATACAGTAAACCCTCCTACAACACGGGAGATTGGTTCCGCGTTATAGGAATCGCGTTGTAGAAGTATTTTCTCATAACGCGCTAGTATGCCCATATAACGCGTTATGTACCAACAAATGATTCATGTTTAACTTTCTTTTTAAAGGGTAAGAAGAAACTATGTTATGAACGAAATATGAACAAAATAAATGTCACAGTACAGAAATAGAACGTGTGCGATCCCCGCGTTAAATGGGGGAATACCCGTGTTATACGAGGGACGGAAATCGCGTAATATGAAAATGCGTTATAAGAGTACCGTGTTGTAAGGGGGTTTGCTGTATTTTGAGTGAAGGAACTTTTGTTTAAAAAAATAAAAGGGAATTTCGTGTATTACTAAAGCATTGCTTTTTGGCCAAAGCTATTGAAGCCAAGGCTTATCTTTAAGTTTAAAAAAGGCGAAATGAGTACCTACGATGTAAAGAGGCTGCTGCCCCGGCGATAACATCAATAAAGTCCACAAAATAATTTTGGTTAACCGAAAAGTTGTTTAAGATAGAGAGAAGTTGATTAAGATAGAGAGAAGTTGATTAAGATAGAGAGAAGTTGATTAAGATAGAGAGAAGTTGATTAAGATAGAGAGAAGTTGATTAAGATAGAGAGAAGTTGATTAAGATAGAGAGAAGTTGATTAAGATAGAGAGAAGTTGATTAAGATAGCTGAGACCCTAAACATATCAAAGCAACGTTTTGGACATATCCTAGATGAATATTTGGATATGCGATTTTATGTCGATATTGGACAAACTCGACAGACAACCGAATGGACTGCACGTGATGATATGACTCCAAAGCGTGGAAAGACGCAAAAGTCGGCTGGCAAGGATAGCCTGCCTCAATGTCATTAATTAACAATATTTTGGGATGCGCTTGATATCATATTCATGAACTTTCTTAAAAAGGGAAAAACCATCAATAGCGACTATTACGCAGCGTTATTGGAGCGTTTGAGCAGACAAAATCGCGGAAAACGGCCTCATGTGCTGTTTCATCAAAACAATGCACCATTTCACAAATCAATGAAAACGATAGCAAAACTCTATGAATTGAGGTTCAAATGGCTGCCGCATCCACCGTATTCTCCAGATTTGGCCAGCGACTTTTTCCTGGTCTCAGACTTCTAGAGAATGCTCGCTGAACAGAAATATTGCGCTGATGAAGAGGTAATCGCCGAAACTGAAGCCTATTTCGAGGCTTAAGACGAATTGTACTATAAAAATAGTATCGAATTTTTTTTATGACCGCTGTACAATCGTTGTATCGCTCAATAATTCAATCAAATTCTATAAAAAAATCTACGAAACTTTTCAGACCACCTGTTAGGGTGTAATGTATTCAGAGAATTGGATGTTTTAAATTAAATACTTCATTATAGTATTAAGCTAACATTATGTAATCAGTATTTAATCATACATATATCTAATTCAAACAATTGTATTGATGTGTATTGAAATCCAAAAATAAATAGAAATCACATTTACTTTCATTTGTTTTTGTCTAAAGGCCCTCGATAACAAAATAAAATCGTATTAGTTTAACTTATAAAGCTTTTGTATTATTTCGTTCACAATGACGATTTAATTAAAAGTTATGATATATAGGTAAAGTATAGATTTTAGTTTACATTAGCATTACATAATATTATATATGTTTGTATGTATTCTTAAGCAACATTACTTACTATACCTTAATCAACCGAATGAAGACGTAAGCAACAGCCAGTTCTTGTATACATATTTACGTTGAATAGAAAAATATCCTAAGAAGAAAATTTCATACTCTTGAAAATGCCCCTTTTAGGCTCCTCTATCACATTTTAAGGGCCATCGTTAGTGCTGTGTCAGCACGGGGTCAAAAAGCGACCTATTTCTATGACCACTTGGTAACAACATTTTTTAACTTTTTTAGTAGTTACTCAAATATCCTTTCTTCAGATTTGTAAGTTGTAATTCTGAGGCTAATTAGTCAGTATCGTTTTTTTGTGAGAAATAAAATTTATTGATTTCCCAGTGACGCATCTGATGTTAACTGGTATCGAAAAATAATCAGTGAAATAGATAAAAAAACTATTCAACTCCATATTCTACTTGAAGTGTTTATGCTTAATTAAAAAAAGCTTCTGAAAAATAATATTTTAAAACAGCATTAATGTAAGTCGATTCTTGATTAGAGAGATGCAATATTTGCAAAAAACATTTTTCTATTCATTCTGGAACTGTGGAACTAAAAATTGCGGCTCAATCTTTTCAGTTCATTAATATTTTAAAACAAATAATAAAAAGTATCGCATTTAATGTAGCAAGCAAGCCTGTATAAATAGCCCACTACATTTTCATTATCACTTATGTCTACAGTTCATATTGAATCAATCAATTCGAAATACAATTCAATCTACTGAAGTAAATATATCTGGGTTCGGATACCCTGTAAATTTAATATGAGAGGGTGAGACCGCAGTATCGTGGCGGGAGTCTACCAGAGAGGGTGGACGCTGCGCGGTTTAATCCCCGTACAACAAAGAGAATTTACAATAACTTTTCTATAATCAATAGCATATTCATGAAACCGTATCTGAGATAAATTAATTGAAGAAGCGAGGTCAGTGAACTCTATATACTCTGTATTTGCTGGCTGAATTATTACATTAACGCGTTTTGTACACCTGAAGGGTGCTCATGTATGTACTTGTGTATTTTAATGAGATACTACGTAATTTAACAGATTAGCAATATTAAAACGATACGTTAGGATATAAGTCTGTTTTATTTATTTTAGACTCATTAGTAGTAAACATGAATTTTAAATTGAGTAAATAGAATTCAAATAGTATTGCAACAAACAAGTGCGTAATGAGCCTTTTATCATTTTCTTTTTTCAATTATTTTATTTATAAAACGGTAAAAAATTACAGCAAAAGCTTTATGAGACAAAGAAGTGAACGGCGAGCTACTAAAAAATGTATAAAAAATTCAACTTCAAAGTAAAAATAAAATTAAGTTAAGAGAAAGCAATTTTCTACTTCCTGTTAACGTTTCAAGCTTTTAATTAAAAAGTTATAGAGTGCAATGGTGAAAGGCTTAGAAATAAAGTTATGAAAATTCAGTAAGCGTAGTGAGCAAATATGCTTTTTTCTAATTATATATCTTTGTTCATGATTGTGATATAAAAAAATAATGTAATTATAACCGAATAAAATATTTATACCCGCAGATTTTGACACTATAATTTAATTTACTTTTCATGAGAGGAATAATAATAAAGCCTTGTTTATTATTTCCTAAATAACCTAATTTACATTTCAAATGTTGCTAGTAGTATTGTTAGATTTGTATAGCTAAATGTTATGACTATAAAGTCATCAGCCCACGCGTCTCTTTGGTCTACCCACTCTTATTTTCCCGGGTTCTATTGTGTTGTCTTTAACGTCTATTTGTTGTCCAGGTATTTGTTACATGATCAGCCCATTGCCATTTTAATTTCAGAGCTTGAGATAGAGCAACGGTTGTTTTAGTTTTTTGTATAATATAATCACATTTTACTTTGTGTAACTTTATATTTAGTATACTTCTCTCCGTAGCTCATTGTTTTGATCTAATCTTTAACTTAACATTTACTGAGAACACACACAAGTTTGGCAACATAGAGGGCCGTATGTTTGTACTATTGTCCATATAGCCACGTAAATAAAATCTGAATAAAGTAAGATTTTTTAATATTTAATTACAATTGTAGTATCACTCATTTAAAAATAATGTACCGGATAAAAAATTAAAATTATTATAATGTAATACTTGACTTACCTACCAAGTAATAGGTGATCCTTTGATATAATTTAAACAAAATGCATCTTATGGCATTCGTGACTTTGGTGTTTTGTGGTATAATTATGTCCGAGTTGTGTGAGCGATCTCCACCACACGCGCAGCCGGCTGACTCCCACTACAAGTTGGCAGTCGCTGGTGACCCAGACTTATTTCTTCCTGGAGAACTATATTCAGGTAATAAAATAAAGATCTTACTGAATCTGTGTGTATATTTAAATAAAACTTTTAAACTTTGGGGGCAAAAATAAGCTTTGCATTCCTGCTAAATCGAAATACCTAGTCAGTACTTCTCTTGGGATTTAACCCAGGGTATTATTGGCAATTATACCCAGGCTATAATTGATTTCTAAAACACAATTAAACTTAAGGAGGTTGTCAACCTTATCTATGTAGAATTAAAAAAAATCTGTTACATGCAATTATAAAATTAAAGTGGTATTAAAATTAAAACCTTTTTTTAAATCACTAAACCTGCCCTGATATCTCTGTTACCACCAGTAGCTGTTATAAAAAGTTCTAAAGTACACGATACTGCACTTAACCCAGAATTTACATTACGAAACTAGTGGCTCGGAATTAGTTTTATGACATAAATTTCATCAACAATTTTTACACGTGTAAATTTACAGTTTCATAATGCATGCATCGGTTTCGCGACACTGGATAAATTTCGTGCCATGCCATATTTTTTGTAAAACTAATGTCACCAACTACTTTCACGATGAAAACCGACACGAAACTAGTGTCGAAAGCATTTGCACAGGGCAGACGTGTGTGTTTGAGTGCATCGTCAGCTAAATGACCGCCAAAATGGCAAACCAACGTTGGTCAGTTGATAAAAATATAATTTTCGAATTTTATATATTAACATCTGTACCACGACGTTCTGCATCGCAAAATGAAGCTTTGATGTTGACAGAGCCATGTCGTTGGTGATACTGTTGATTTCACGACACTATTATTTTTTGTTAAAGTAGTTTCACACGTGCTGCAACTATTTTCATGAAACTCATTCCAACATGCATAACACTAGTTTCGTAATGTAAATTCGGCTTTACTGACGTAGGTACCTTTAATTTACTAGGCATTATACCAATTCTCATTTTTCCATTGACGCTAAACTAATTTATATTGTATTTTCAGTATCGCTTCACGGTGTAGACAGCGGACAAGGCCCGGCCCCTTTCACAGGCTTCATCATTTGGGCGGAATTAGATCATAATTTAAATAGTAGTTCTAATGCTACCAATGTTACTGTGAGTGGTTCACCAGGGACCTTCCAGGCGTATGATGCCCAGACTAAGCCTCACGAACTGTGCAAGCCGGCTGTGGATAACGCTACCGCTCATCCAAAGACAGAAATTCAGGTTAAATATTAGTTTACGTATACGCTATCTAATTTGCAATGTTAGTAATATGTTGATAGTAAGTCTAAATCTAATTATCAAATATATAATTCACGTGTCACTGTACCCATTTTGTGGTTTTTTTTTTTCCTTAAAATTCTCGTGTCACAATATTAGTTACCATACTCCTCCGAAACGGCTCGACCGATTCTTATGAATTTTTTTATGGATATTCAGTAAGCCTGAGAATCGGACAACATCTATTTTTCATCCCCCTAAATGTTAAGGGTGGGTCCCACCCCTAAATTTTTGTTTTTATTTTTAGACAAAACTTTGTATTTATTTTTTTATGATACAGCATACCAAAATACATACGACCCTTAATTTCACCCCTCTATCACCCCTCATATTGAACTAAATAAAAATTTTTCCTACAAATTATAATATAATATACATGGCAAAACAAACGTTTGCCAGGTCAGCTAGTAATTAAGAATATGCTTTGAAACACCAAAATACATTCTAGCTGAAACATTGCCGATGTAGATTTAGAATAAAATAACGCAATGTATATTGTCTTGTGTATGAAAATAGATAATAAAAACGGATTTATAATATATTTCTTAGGTGATATGGAACGCCCCGTCGAGTACACCTGAGAGCTGTGTACGTTTGTGCGCGCGCGCATTTCATCTTGATTCCACTACGGTATCAATTCTAGCACGTAAATTGTGTCCTGCGCCTGCAGTTCCTACTGCGCCTGATCGACAACCGCCTATTGTAGAGCCTTGTTGCGCTTGCGATGAGGCTAAATATGAGGTAAAAGAAAATTTAACAGAGAATATACCTTTGTTAAAGTTATTAACTACTGATATTATACAGATACATTTAAGTACATTAATGGATAAAGCCGGTAGGGGAACTGGACCGAAGGTCTTTTAAAGAATATTGACTATTCTAAATAAATTATCAATAAAAGATTTACGTTGAATGTTCATTAGTAGTTTTGAATACCAAAATAACGTAAAAAATAACCTCTGCACAACTTATAACTCTGTCCGTCTCGCCGGCAATTTCAAGTTTTGGTAGCCTAAATGGTAATTAAATTAACACAGGTAACATTCGAGGGTCTGTGGTCTCGGAACACTCACCCTAGAGAATTCCCTCCGGAATCAGCGCGGGCGCATTTCAGCGACGTTATAGGTGCGTCGCATACGGCCCAATTTAGAGTTTGGCAAGAGGGAAGAGTGGCTACAGCTGGATTAAGAAAGTTAGCTGATGATGGTACAACCACTACCCTTGAAAAGGAATTGAAATCTGAGGTAATGTTTCATAGGTCTCGAGTACGTAAGGCATAAATGAGGAAAATTTGTAGAAAATATACTTAAATGGGACGGAATTAAATTTTTATACCTGATACGACGCTTTAAAAGCTGTCAAGTATTAAAGTTATAATAATTTCTTAGTTAGTTTTCCAACTGATAAAGTTACTTAGGAAATAGAGCGTGAATAATCGTCGATTACCCCTATATTATGTACTATAACTTCTATTTTAATATACATTTAATATCTTTAGTGTTGCGTTGGATAATCCTCACGCCAAAATTATTTTACAGAGCGATCATATACGGACGATCATCAAGGCCCGCGGCATTTCCTGGCAACAAGTGGCCGGCTCTGGTATTCCCACCACCTTTGCAGTATTCAGGGTGGATGCCAAACATCATCTAGTGTCTTTGGCCTCGAAACTGGCGCCATCTCCGGATTGGATTCTTGGTATTTCGGCATTGGAGCTATGCAACTTGAACTGTACTTGGAGAAGATCGGCTGTCTTACCACTTTATCCTTATGACACTGGAACTGATAGTGGTATAAGTTACATGGTATGTAAAGTTTATATATCCATTTAGATTAAACTTTCTTTTTCTTTTCGTATTGGTTTGTACATAATCTCTTAAAAACAACACTTAAAAATTGTCAATGACTGCTGTAAATATAGAAAAAGAGATTCCAATAATCCTCGGAGCAGTGTGGTCGCTCCGTGTAGCCTGCGAAGTGCCCAGGAGACTTCTGTACTTCTGGAAAGAGCTAGGCTGGCTTAGTTAGCCAGGACTTTACGCACAACGAAACTAATGAGCGTCTAAGTGCGGAAATTGAGAGAATACAATACCATTACAATAAAGAAGTTAACTTAAAAGCATATTTAGGTTATTCTACTGTAATGTGTAATATGTTCCTAGCATTTTTAGATCAAATTTGACGTCATAAAATTATGTACGGAAATTAGATGTGGGTCTTTTTCATATAATATTTTTTTTATAATAACAATGATATTTTACAAACAAAAGAAATCATTAGAAAACTTTGCCGTTTTATAGCGTAAAAAGACAGTTTTCTTGACTTTATAGTCCCGTCGCAACCCGACGGTACCGCCAGCTCCAGTTCGCGCTCTGAGACCCGAGTGGCCTAAAGATTCCCGCTCGCCATTTTTCGCCTCCACGGGAGAAATGAGGCCTTTTGCTCGCCTCAGGCTTAATCGACTGCGCTTGTACGAAAAGAGCTGCGAATCTTCAGGTATTAATTTAATTTACATGAATTATTCGTCGAGTGTTTCTGTTGGGAACTTAAACTCACCTCTCATTAAAGACCACCTTAGTATTGTCTTTGATTAACATAACTTTTATTCATTTAATAAAGCACGCGAAACGTCGGATAAATTTAAAATTATGTTAAATAGTTGTAAATTTATAACAATACATAACTTCAATCCGGTCAAAATAGTGTTTTATTAAAGACCACCTTCTCTTGCATAATCCAGCTTTATAGAAAATATTCTCTATTATGCTCTATTGCGCTATTGTTACCTTAGTTTAAGTTAACTTCTGACATCCCAACGTCCGACATAACTCTAGCAGAGCGATAGACAGATGTAGCGAATTTATCGTCCAAACTAGACAGCTAAAACATTAACAAATACCGACCGTACTAAACGGTAGTATATTATAAACATAAATATTTATCCAGATCCTGGCAACCAGCAAACCATTGATGCATCAATACGTACCGGTGGCGGGTCATGTGCGACTCTGTCTTGGGGCTCTTGGGGTCCGTGTAGCGTGACATGTGGCGAGGGGCGTGCTGCTCGGCAGAGGGACTACATGTGGCCCGCTCGGGCCAAGGCAGACGCCTGTAGAACCCCTCTCACCGATTACCAACCTTGTCGTGGACCTAGGATACATTGCCGGTAAATGATTATATCAAAAGCCTGCTTATGATTTCACTTAATAGTGCGCTACTATATTACTTGAAGACGAATATACTATAATAAGCTTTAATTCGTTTAATTATTAATTAATTTAGCTTAATAAAGACTGTATGTAGTGTTATTGGACACTTTCTTATTGAATATAGTTTTTAATAAATTGTTTAGTTTTAAATTACTTATTAGTAGTTAGGCTAGATCGTAATGTTAAATTGTGTCTTTGTGCAGAGACAATTTATTAAAAAAAAACGTGTGGCACTCGGGGACATGATTCGACTGCCGCGGTAAAGCTATTGCATAGCATTTTTTATCAACTTATGCAATTATAATTATGTATTATTTTTTATTGACGCAGTATTTTTTTTCTTTGATTTAATATCAATCTACCAGACTCAGTCTAACGCCTATATAGTCTGTCTCTCTGACCGATGTGAGACGCATTATGCGTTCTGTCCCGCTCTAACGCGTATTGGCCGCACCTATATTACATCATCGTGTGTTAGGTTTTTATTTCGTTACGGAATTTCATGATTCGGTCTTCGCGCTCAAAGCCCGCGATAAAATCTATGCAATAGCTTAAAAGTTTAATAACTATATAATTTACTTTTTAGAGTTCAGTCAGAATACGAGCCAGATCCAGCTGAATTTAGCGGACCGTGTGCAGTGTCGTCTTGGTCCGAATGGTCCCCCTGTGAAGGGTGTGGGGTTCGAGCCAGGACCAGGCACTATTTAGTCCCGCGTGCCTTCAAACGCTGCCATGTTGGTTTCAAGGCACGAACGGTCCTCAGCCAGGCCATGCCTTGTGAAGCTGGACCATGTTTTAAGTAAGAAGTAAATTATACACACATGTAACGCAGTAACCTTAAGAAGTAGTCGATTCCTATCAGACGGGTTGATCAAAAACATTGACCGGGTTATAAAGAAAGTTTATCACTACATATTTTAAAGCAAAGTCTGTCGTGTCTGTTTCAGTTTCTGTGCGATGTATTAAAAAACTATTTGATGCGGTTTAAGATAGAGGATTTTCAAGAGAGATTTAGTTTAATGAACGAAATATACATTGACATATTTTTATGATTTGAATTCCAGAGCACCCAGCGCTTTTGCAAATTCCACAAACTTCGATTGGTTTTACATTGTAAGTATTATATATCTTTTAAATTCTACAGAGAGAGAGAGACAATTTTAAAAATCTCTTGTATTTATTATTTGAATTTGTTCTGAAAATATACAATGACGACTTGATAAATTAATGCACTGTTAAAAATTACCACACATATTAGCCACTTATTACTATAATAATATCTTTAAACAATTTGTAGTCAGTTTTATGTAATAACTTAAAAAAGATAGTTTATAGGTCTTTCACGTTGTAAAAACGTCTATTTGTGAATATATGCAATTATGTTGGACAATTTTTTTCCTTACTGGAAATACATAAATATTGATAGGACAATCCCCGCGGCGAATGCGCAGTGACAAGTTGGGGTTCATGGTCCCCGTGTTCCGCAAAATGCGGCCGCGGTCGACGTATTCGTACTCGTCTTTATATCTCGAAGGACCCGCGCGTACAAGTCCTGCTCACGAAGAGACTGCTCGCCGATTGGAATAAGCTGTTTGCTGATTTTCAGAATTTGGTATGATATTTATGTTAAGGACTTTTTGATCAGTAATAAGTATTGTTTAATATTCAGTTCAAAACAGCACAAAATTGTATAAGTTTTGATAGTAACATACACTTTTCGATTTTCTATGCAAGAATTTAGTTATTAGTATTAGTATTTATTATTCTACTACACAATTAGGTTTTAGGTATTTCTTGTGCTACAATATTATAGCTATCCAATAATGTTACGGTCGGTTTTATTATGATTATAGTGTAGTGTATAGGAGCGAGTAGAAGTGTATAATTTAGATAGCGTCTTCATAAATTTCAGACAGTACCATCGGAAAATGTGACAAGTGAAAATCCGAACGTAGACCTTTTGGTACAAGAGCACTTGGATCGCTGTCAGGACACTTTGACTCAGCAGGAGGCACTTTGTGATGGAGAAGACACTTCATGCGACACTGAAGTTCCTCAGGGTAGGTATAAAATTTTATATTATTTTTCCTACTTTTAACATGAATAAATAAAATTATGGAACTACAAAAAGAATTGTATGACTCCTGTCTCCTGAAACCAGCGCTACAACCTTTTAAGGCTGGGCCTCAGATTTCTAAATCTGTTTCATGATCATTTGGCAATCTAATAGGCAAGTAGGTGATCAGCCTCCTGAGACTCCGGTGCCTTCTCCATTTGGGCTAATGTTAAATGCAAGAAAGTTCATCGGTGCACAGGCGGCGATCGAACCTATGACCTCAGGTATGAGGTCTAATCTTTGGAAAGCTGACTTTAAACCTTGTAACGTTTTATATTCCCAGAGGTATGCACACTGCCTATGTCTGTGGGTCCATGCCGTTTGTACGAAGAGAGATGGTTCTACGATAACTCTACTGGAGTTTGCGAGCCGTTTGGATTTACAGGGTGTGGTGGGAATGCAAACAACTTTCGAGACAAGCAGACTTGTGATCGAGCGTGTGCTGGAAAAAATATATCCGCTGGTAAGGAATATATTAAATATATATTATGGGATTCTCTTAAAACTTAAAAGAGATTGTTACGGGGTATCTCGTTTTCTTCAGGCATTCATAAGTACATCACTTCTTTTTAACAGATTTAAAAAACTGAAGGAGGAGGTTATCAATTCAACGATCAAATATTATTAAGAAGAGGATGAGCTTGCAAAATAAATATTTTTATTTTTTATACCGAAGTAAAAGCTTAAATTTACGGTTATATATTCATAATTTATAGCCAGTGTATATTTGTAACTGACCACTCTTAATTAATTCATTCTTAAACCCACTATAAACTCTAAATAGTTACTATATTTGTTATTGGCCAAAATAGTTTTCGTGTTTTCTTCAATTGCAATTGCATTGTCAGCTTAAAATGTTTATAAAAGTAATTAGTATATTAATTAATTAATTAAATAAACCTAAAAGTGTGAGTATTTGATAGTTTTTCCAGTCGCAGAGGCGAGCACCAAAAAGCTAAAAGCTACTCCTCCCGCTATTGACAACGAAGTCTTGCCAAACGATTCACCGCGAGTTGGTGAGTTACCTATTATTGATAAAGTTACAACTGCATTTCACAAAACATTTGGCAGCTTATTCTTCCTTGTGAACTGTTTTATGGTTCAGTATGTGTTGCGTTGCATTAGATTATAAATTTCACAGGCGCTGTATGCCTGTTGTTTAAAAAAGTGCGCGCGTACAAAGTACGCAGTGAAACTTCTTTGTAAATTAAACACACTGTTTACACACTGTATACGTGCTAATGATAATATAAATAACTAAAAAATCTGCGTTTACTGCACAAGACGTTATGCAACAGAATTGCCATCTAAAGTTCTAATATGTTAAACGAATACATCAACCAATAGCGTGTATTTTTTCTCGATCTCCCTTACTCTCGATCTCTCTCAATCTTTCCCACTTGCTTGCACCCTACTCTCGCTCCATGGCTATTTGTTCGACCTTTCTCTGTCTCTCTCAATCGTCTCAATCGCTCTCTCCCTTTTCTTCGACCAAAACGCTGCACATCTTCGTGACGCCAATTTGCGTTTCAACCGTAACAATTTTAATCTCATGCGCCTAAGAAGTTTCACTTCAAAAATGCAATAGATTTATATCAAGGGCATTAATGTGTTATCTGTCAAATTACTTCTTTGTATAATATTTATTGTTGTTGTTGTTGTTTCTTTGTATTCTTTTATCTGGTTTTCTTTTTTGTATAACTTTAAAAAAAATTGTAATAGCTGTATTTTTAATAAGTCTTCTGTTTCTTGACGGCTATTGTAATTTTTTACCATTGTAATATATAATTAATTAATAAGCGTAACGTATGACTATATTTTCTTGTGTCAATAAATGTTGTAATGAAGTCTGTGTGCACACACTAAACGCACAATTTTCTAAATTATTAACAGGAGCATATAATATATAAAGGTTTTATTCTCAGTTTTGTATATGTTCCGGAGATACTTTATTAGATAGCCAGTATAATTGCGGAATGAATGGAATTGAGAAAAATATTAAAGTTACTTTTTGAACTCTATCAATGTATGAGTCTTAAAAATGTTCGATTAATTTAAGTATTATTTTTGTATTTGTGTTTATCGGTGGCAACGGCGGTTCGAAGATGTGAGTTGCGAGATGGAACCGTGGCTCGGCTGGTCCGAGTGCTTCGGGGACTGTGAATATGCTATTAAACTCAACTATAGACTTGTACGAGTAAGTTCTAGTACTAATAGCTGCATCACACGCTTTGAAAAGGGGTTTCATGGAACAGTTTGGAGTTTAGGCCTCATTTAAGTTGGAATTTCTAGATATTTATATCGTAAAGCCCAAAGATTTCTAAGGTTTCGTAGCAGTGAGGTGGTTAGAACAAATGTGTTAACATTAAAGTTTGTGACAGCGGGATATGTTGCTATGGGGAGGAACAGTGTTTTATAGTTTTTACTTTAAACTACAAATGAACGTACTAAAATGAACCTTATTCATAATGTTAATATCGCCTTAACTTGATGAGTCAATAATCCTATAATAGGGATCCTAGATTGGCATTGAATTATAATTTACATATTCGGCAGTTTATAAGGTACCTAGTAATGACATTTTAACATTGTTGTGTAATCTAGAGTTTATAACTTTTATATAAAGTGCCTCGCGCTTAGTCGGGTGATGCGTGAGGTTTTATAACCCTTCCTCGATAAATAAAATTAAAAAAAAATCAGTGGCGCTACTACCTTTTAGGTCTGGACCTCAGATTTCTATATCTGTTTCATGATCATTTGTCAATCTGATAGGCAAGTAGGTGATCACCCTCCTTTGCCTGACACACGCCGTCGACTTTTTGGTTCTAATGCAAGCCTGTTTCCACATGATATTTTCCTTCACCATTCAAGCGAATGTTAAATGCGCTCATAGAAGAAAGTCCATTGGTGCCGGGAATTGTACCTTCGATCTCAAGAGAGTCGCACGCTGAAGCCACTAGGCAACACTGCTCGTATATTCCTCGATAAATAGATAACCCAAATGCTAGGAATGTTCTAATCAAAATCAGTAGTTTCTGACGAAACAAACTAATATTATATATAAGTAAATATTAGCATAGATTTTATGAGTCAAGCACATATTACACTGAACTATAACTGCAATTTCAAATATCATTTCGCAATTTTACGTAAACAGAACAATGTTTAAGTACATATTGATTGTTTGTTATGTTTACTAAAGTGTGTCTATGTTTCAGCGTTTCGCATCTGGCTTCGGAAAGCCGTGCCAGAAAGTAGTAAAGAGTCGTATTTGTAGACCGAGGCATTGTAGAGCCTCGAATAGCACGTTGACCGACACCTACGGTGAAGACGAATAGTTCTATTTTAATCTCTTGTATTGATAATAAACATAAGCTGCTTAAGTGTTTTATTGTATTTATTGAAATAAAGGTTTTGAGAAAGCTCACCTGTTTTTCAATCGGTCCATTCAAATAAAAACAAAACCCGGCTGAGTTGTTTTTTACTTGTTCTTATTGTCTCAATATATTCTGGAAGCCTTGTTGTATGTACAAAAAAAAACTATTTTAAAACAAATGGTGATTATCACCAGTATAATACGCGAAATAGAACTAATTTGAGTGTACAACCAACCAGGCTCCAGAAGATAAACCACTCCTTATATGGAAATTGTATTCGTTTTTACAACAAACTCCCAAGGAAAATTTGCGAATTATCACTAAATAAATTCAAAGCCCACGTTAAACGTAAATTAATCAATAAAGCTTTTTATAAATTTGACGAAAACTTAAATGATCCTATTCCTTGGGATTGATTTGCTCCAGTTCAAACAATTATGACTCAATACATGGCGATTAAAAAGAGTGGCGGAAAGTTTATTGCCAATTATTCTTACCCGCTCTACGCCTTGACTTGCGAACTGGTAGTAAATGTAAATTTATAATTAATTTAACTTCTTTTTGTCGTTCATAAGTGTACTTGTTTACCTATATGAATAAAGATATTTTGAGTTTGAAGACTCCAGTTGAGGCACAGCGCGACTCCCGTAAGTCCTAGGGCCCAACCCCCCCCCCCCCCCCCCCCCCCCCCCCCCCCCCCCCCCCCCAAACACCAACCCCACCCCCCCCCCCCCAACCACAGCCCCCCCCACCCCCCCCCCCCCCCCCCCCCAAAAAAAAACCACAAAACAAAAACCAAAAAACCAAAAAAAAAAAAAAAAAAAAAAAAAAACCCCACCCCCCCCAACCAAAAACCACAAAAAAAAAACCAAAAAAAACCCCCCCCCCCCCCCCCCCCCACCCAACCAAAAACACAAAAAAAAAAAAAAAAAAACAAAAAAAAACCAACCCCCAAAAAAAAAAAAAAAAAAAAAAAAAAAAAAAAAAAAAAAAACCAAAAAAAAACCCCCCCAAACCCCCCCACCCCCCAAACCCCCCCCCCCAAAAAAAAAAAAAAAAACCCCCCCCCCCCCCCACCCCCCCCCCCCCCCCCCCCCCCCC